AGGTTTCTTTCCACTTGTGCTCGGTGCGCCCTCTTCCTCCACGCCCAAATCCCGTCCCTCAGGCCTTTTCCGATCGCGGCGTTTCAAGTTACGTAAGCCTGTGTTATCGCGACACAGCTCAACGGCGCGAATCATTGTCGGGCGCGGCCAATCTTTGCGTTCCTCCCCTCGCGTCTCACTGCCTATCAGACCTCGGTGAGAGAGGTGAAGGATTCCCTTGGCTTGCGGTGTGCAGCAAATCACAGCCGCGATGAGCCGCAGCACCGAGACCATCCCGTTCCCGGGCGCCAAGTCCCCGGGCATCACCGATGTCACCCGACATGCCTGGATCACCTCGGACGACATCGAGGCGGCGTCCTCCACGCCGCGCGGCGGCCCGTTTGAGCCGCGCGAGGACCACAACGGCGACCTCGTCACGGCCACCGAGGACCGCGATCTGAAGCGCGGCCTCGAGCAGCGCCACCTGTCCATGCTGGGCATCGCCGGCGCCATCGGCACGGGCCTCTTCCTCGGCCTCGGCGGCGCCATCCAGACCGGCGGCCCGCTCGGCGCCCTCCTCGGCTACGCCACCGTCGGCCTCATCGTCTGCGCCGTGCAGTTCGCCCTCGGCGAGGTCTCCGCTCTGCTCCCCGTCACCGGCTCCTTCGTCCGCCACGCCGAGTTCCTCGTCGACCCCGCCCTCGGCTTCGCCATCGGCTGGAACCTCGTCTACGGCAACATCCTCTCCATCCCCTCCGAGATCACCGCCATCTGCGTCCTCTTCGAGTTCTGGACCGACCTCAACCCCTCCGTCTTCATCGTCGTCTTCATCATCCTCACCTTCGTCGTCGGCATCGCCTTCGTCCGTGTCTTCGGCGAGGTCGAGTTCGTCTTCGCCCTCCTCAAGATCCTCCTCGTCATCTTCCTCATCATCCTCGGCCTCGTCATCGACCTCGGCGGCGTCCCCGGCACCCCGCGCATCGGCTTCCGCTACTGGCAGGACCCGGGGCCCTTCGTCGAGCACATCGCCACCGGCAACTGGGGCAAGTTCCTCGGCTACTGGGGCGTCATGACGAGCGCCGTCTTCTCCTTCGCCGGCGTCGAGTCGCTCGCCATGGCCGCCGCCGAGACGCAGAACCCGCGCCGCGCCATCCCCCGCGCCTGCAAGCGCGTCTTCGCGCGCATCGTGCTCTTCTACATGCTCGCCGTGCTCGTCGTCGGCATGCTCGTCGCCAGCAACGACACCCGCCTCGACGACGCGTACGGCACCGCCGCGCAGAGCCCCTTCGTCATCGCCGCCTCCGCCGCGGGCATCCCCGCCATCCCCAGCGTCGTCAACGCCGTCGTCATCACCTCCGCGTGGTCGGCGTCGAACCAGAGCTTGCTCGCGGGCACTCGTGTGCTCTTCGGTCTCGCGCTCAAGGGCCAGGCGCCCAAGATCTTCCTGCGCACGACGGCGTGGGGCACGCCGTACATGTGCGTGCTGCTGTTCACGGCCTTCATGTTCCTCAGCTTCATGAGCCTGTCGAACGGCGCGCTGACCGTGTTCTGGTGGCTGGTGGACCTGACGGCGGCGGGTGTGCTGGTGTCGTGGTCGGCGATCCTGCTGAACCACCTGCGCCTCAAGTCTGCAATGAGGAAGCAGAACATATCCATGGAGAGGCTGCCTTGGCACAACTCGTGGACAGGTAAGACATCTGTTGGTTTTGCATCGTATCCTTGCTAACAACATTGCGTTTCAGTCTACACCTCGACTGTCGCGCTCTTCATGTGCATCACCATCCTTCTCACCAGCGGTTTCGAGGTGTTCACCAAGGGCAACTGGAGTGCCAGCGGCTTCGTCTCTTCGTACCTGTAAGTTCCCACCCCGCTGCTCTTCTGTTGCAGGCTTTCTGACTGACTTGCCAGTGACATCCCCTTGGTCCTCGGCGCCTACCTCATTTACAAGTTCGTCAAGAAGACTAAGGTCGTGCCTCTGGAGAGCATCGCGCTGCACGATGCCTTCGACCAGGCCGACGCGTACCCCGAGGAGCCCGAGGTCAAGAAGACGGGGCCCATTCGCTTCGTCAGCTGGATTTGGGATTGAGATGGGTTGATGAGAGATCTCAACGGCCATTTACATTGTAGACAATATTCAACACTTCACCTATATAAAGTAATGAGAGCGCATGACTAGATAGATCATGACATAATAGCAAGCAAGGTTTCAACACTGTAAATCGTTTCGAGCTGATTTCTCTGTGAGTGGCTGTGGATGCCAGGTAGCGGGCTATGCAGCATGACATGAACCAAGTTCCGCGGCGCATTCTTCTCGCCAAGGCCAGTCTCCCATATCCGCTGTTCATCGCAAGCCTCAAACTTGGGAGGACCTTTGAGTATCCCAGTCCGCCCGTTACTATGGCCATGCAGGCTTTTCGTGCACTTTTGAGATTTGACTTTTGACTTCTCGCGATGAAGATGGAAATGACAACAGAATGATCGAACTGGCCGGTGTTTTGCCCAGTCCGGCCTGTCTCCTCCGTGAGGATGATAGCGTCTCGGTATGATACTAGCGACCGGCGACGAAACATTATAAATGGGTTGTACATTTGAACTTAGGCGGCGGACGTCTTCGTGGCTTGACGCTGGGGCATTCGAAGTGACCCTCGACTGCTGGGAACCCGCGATATTCTGTCACACTGAAGATGCTGTAATGCTTGTGCTCTCTGCTCTCTGCCTGCTTTGCTGACTATCTAGCCTTTCCTTTGCTCTTCACTCAAGAACCACACCCGTGGAAAGAAGGGCTGAGAAGCACACCAACAGACAACTAGACAGTCGAGAGGAGCCGGCTTTTGGAAGCTCTATCAAGTTCAACGCATCTACAGGGTCTGGCGTGACATAGGTTGAATGGGCAGCGGACTTGGCACACGACTCTAAGCCGCACTCCAACCAAGAACGGGTGCGCCGGAAGACGCGATCTCATGAGTTTTACGGAGCTGCTGGCTGTCTTTAAATGTCGAGGATGTGAGGTGCCCATTAGAGGGAAATTTGGCCGGGGTTCTCGATGTGGCATTTGGCGAAATAAAGGGTAAGAAAGCTTGGCAGCCATCTGTTTATTGGTCTAATGGTTGCCGTTAATCTCTCTGTATGAGACGGGCGAGGTTGACGGAGGCGGAGCTGCATATTTCGTTGTGCGGAACAGGGCGACATCCCATGCGTGGGCGTTCTGGACTCGACTTATACTCGGGTTGGCTGGCCAAACCGTCCTGGAAACATGCATACAGAGGTGGAGCAGTCGCACGATGATGCGAGAGTGGCTCGAGGTCTCTCGGTTCTTCTTGCAAGAGACACCGCTCGGAAATGCAGGTCAATGCTGCGCAACCCATCCGGTTGACAGCAGGACAAAATGGAGGAAACTAAGGAAGCGACTTGGAAGGACAGAAAGCGTCGTAATAACGATTTGCGCTGGTGGTGGTGTTTCAGTGGCGGAGGTGCTCATCTATTGTCAGAAAACAAAGTATACACCAACATCTATCATCATGATCCTAGCCACCGCCGCCGACCTTAGCCGACTGAGATGTCGCTTTTTTTCAGACGGGCAACTCGGTTAAACTTCGGGGAAGCTCTGGCTTAAAACCGGTTTACTGATCCAGCTCCGTCCTATGGTGACTCTGCCTCTGAGCGCTGTGAAGAAGCATGCCAGTTGGCGAGACGAGCTCGTCGACCTTGGCCGACTGAGATGTTGCCTTTTTTTTCGGTGGAGCAACTCGGTTAAACTTCGGACAAGCTCTAGCTTCTCATCGGTTGACCAGCCCCTTCCTGCGCAGTAATCTTGCCGTGGTTGAGCCGTTTAGCGCTGCAAAGCGGATTGAGATATGGCTTTTTTTTTTTTTTTTTTGGCGATGAGCAACTCGGTTAAACTCCGGGAAATATCAGCGCTCTCCTCGGACAGTTGGCGGGTGCAAGACTTGTCGTTGGTTTTGGCGCTGAAGATGGCGTACTCAATCGCGCGAAGGATCGTGCTCGTTGCAGGTACTTTGGCGATAGTACAGCTGCGTATCCGCCCGTACCTGGCGACCTTCGGCGCGCCTGGGGCTCCGCACGGGCGGTGGGCCGCTCCCCTACGGTCCCACGTCGCATCTTGGAGTTCTGGGCAAGGTGTGCAACCCGGTAGGGTGGGCTTGGCCGAAGTTTCCCCGTCATCCTCCCGCCTGGCGGAACAATCGGATCTTCTCCGTTGTGACGCATTGTGACGGCGGCTGTCGCCGCGAGCGAGACGGCTGGCATGTTACGCAGCTGTGTCGAGCGATGATGGAGCGCTGCTGAGGAATCTTGTCTTGACTGTGCGGAGGAAACGGTCGGTCGAATGTGCCTCGTCACCCCGCAGTTTTCGTACTGTGCGCGGTACTTTCGGTGAAGGTCCACGCCTCTGAGATCTGCACGGGCCATGCGTTCGTTGGCCAAGCCCCCCTTGTGCTTGGCCACATCCCCTGATCCCTGTGCAGACATTTCGGTGGACAAGAGGTCGAAGCCTGGTGAGTGGCGTGGCGTCATACGAGACATGCCAGCTCACGAGGCCGAGGTCAGATGTGGTATCTCAATCGACACCCTCACAATGCTGCTGCCCTCTCAGGAGAACCCCAGAGACTTCATCACGCCCGTGTTTAAATGACCTATGCAAGCCCTTCCAGATATCTCCTACCATCCGGAGGAGTTCAAGGAAGCAGTGACGGCCATGCTACCCAAACCTCGGAGGCTGAAGTATTCGCCAAAGACCTATCGCTTTTAATCGTGTTGTTCACTACCACTTGCTGTGTCTCCTTGTTGAGTACGGAGTTCCGATTTGGATGATCCAGTTTATCTGGGAGTTCCTTTCTCGACGCAGCATCACTGTTCGCCTACGTGGCAAGCTTTCGAACAAGTTTTAGATCAAGATCGGTGTTCCTCAGGGTAGCCCTCTCTCTCCTATCCTCTTCGTGTTCTTCACGATACCCATTCTCAGGAGATTGAGGGAGAGCCGGACTTTAGAGAGCAGGGGCGATATGACCATCTTCCAACTTTTCGACCTGGTCATCACAGGCTACGTCGACGACATCACCATTCTGCTTGCTTCCTCTTCCTATGAGTTGAATTGCGAGGCATTGGCACAGGTGTACCGTCGTTTGACGAGATTTACGTCGCTGCATGGCACCGAATTCAGTGCCGACAAGACGCAGGTCATTCACTTGTGCCAGTCGCGCAAAGCCCCGCCCATCGTCAACGTCATGCCGAATGTTTCGGGGTTTCCTACAGAGGCCAAGGATGATGCAATAAAAGTACTCGGATTGCATCTGGATTATCAGCTTAAGTGGAACGTCCACATCGCACATGTAAGTTCGCCCTTTCAAACCAGATTCCTGTTCTATCACCAACTTACTCTTTACAGACCCTAGGGTCAGGCAAAAGATGTATCAGATGCGGCGTGTTTGTGGATCTACCTGGGGTCCGGATGTCTTAAAGCTTCGACACCAATACATCACCAGCGTGAGGCCTATCTTTGCCTACGCCTGCGCCCTCTGGTACGTGGTCCGCAGGACCAAAGGAACTAGGTGCAAGTGGTCACTATGCCAGGCCCTAGTCAACAAGCTGGAGACTGAGCAAAGCCAGTGTCTGAAGCAATTTTTTGGTGCGTACCAACGCGTATCGGGCGACATCCTTTGCAAGGAGTTCTTCGTCGAGAAGCTCTGCGTGTTTCTCGCTGGATGTGCGATGAAGCACCGGGTGACGAACATCGACACGCCCGAGGGCCAAGCGCTGTTGCGGACCTGGCTGTTTGTGGCCAACCGCCGTGGCCTCACGGCTGAGGTTATGGAAGCGCATCCGCTGAATGTCGCGTACCGCGAGGCCAAGGCTCTGGTCTGGATGGTGGCGGATGACGAGCTCCAGCTGCGGATCAGAGCGGACCCGAAGCTCGCCAAGAATCCTGCCCTGCAATGGCTGAGGCGGAAACAGCTCATCAGGGACGTCGTGAAGAAGATGTCACATTTCAAGTCGCAGGACCTCTGGCAAAAGTTCTTCATCCGTTACCTGAGCCAAGCTGCTGCCTTCAACGAAATCTGCCCGGTCGTTCAAGGAATTTGGGGGCAGCACAACCTCAGGATCTGAGTGAACATGCCCGAGGCTCAGAGCACAATCTTACTCCACATGCGGACGGGATTCAATGGGTTGAACGCCACACTACACTTCATGGGGGTGAGTTGTTTTGCTTTCTCTGGTTGTTGCTCAGCCCGCCGGCTTCCTCTTATCAACTTCTGAACTTCGGCTGGCCCCGTCTCACATGTGCCCATGTGGCAAAGGTGCGCACAATGCGAATAAGGTGCGCACAATGCGAATAAGGTGCGCACAATGCGAATAAGGTGCGCACAATGCGAATCACTCGTTCCTCCATTGTAAAATGTTGGAGGATGCCCTCAAGCACCACCGGAAGGCTTTTTCCGAGTTAACGTTCGAAAAGCTCGTTACGCACCGACCCAGGTTAGCTTCAGACTTGGCCATCCCTTACTTTGGTATTCCACAGTTCCAATGGACGAAGCACGTGCTAAACCCAGCATTTGGCGACTTGCAGGAGGAAGAGGAGGAGGGAAGCGTGAGCCCTTCGCCGCCATGGATAACCAAGGAGATCTTTCATTTTCTGCGTATAGCTAGTTCTGGTAGTGTTCCGTCGCCAGTGAGCAACTCCTTCGATGTTGACGTGCGTTCGCACTACACTGACTGGCTGAAGCAGTCCAAGCCTTCTGTCGACCAGGCTCAAGTCTTCGGTAGGGACTGGCTGTCCAATTGCTGAGGGCCTGACCTGAAACCAACTGGTCTCGAGGCAGTTCTACAGTCGCCAGCAACTCCCACGATGTCAGTGAGCCACAGCCCGCAGTGAGAAGATGGTCTTTGGCTGAACGACCCTGGAGCAGTTGGGCCTGGCCACTTGCTGCCTACGCCGTCCTACTAACGACGTCGTCAGAGTAGTTTAGGCGCAATGGCCAGGCTTAGCAGCAAAAGCAGCCACCTCTTCTGGTGAGGTTCGCCGCGGCACTTGGGTTGGCCTTCAGGACTGCGAGGCAGGACGTTGCTACAGGTATGAGATATCTTTAGCCGTAGGCCTTTGTAATTTTGTTGACTCTCGAATATGAGTCATCCTATCCTCGGGGCTTTGTATGTTAAGGGGCGTCGTCTTGCGCAGAAAGGCTGACTCTGTGGGCGCTATCGATCTCGTCTTGGGGTGTGCCTCAAGTAAAGTATCGTTTACCTTACGTATTCATCTATCATCTGCTAGGTATGTCACACCTTGTAGCCCTGGGACATGAGGCTCCATAGTTTGAACAGGAGGTAACACATCGTGACATTGACTCTGCCAGACGGCGTGGGTGGCTTGGTTGTAGGTATGCCGCTTGTGTGATACTCTGCGCTCACATACCTGTCTCGACAGGTGGTGGTATTGACTTAGGATTGAGGATGAGGAATGGGCTCGCGGCTTGGCGTCATATAAGTCATCGAACCTTGTAGGATGAGATTGCTGGCTGCGGCTGACATGTTCTCCAGGCAGTATTGTCTTGAGTACGTAGCCAAGATAAGCTTTTCCGTGGCTGGAGACCTTGCGAAGCCAACTCTGGTACGTGTGTTCCTTTTTTTTCTTTTCTCTTTTTAACTGTTTTTTTCCCTTTCTCTCTCACTCCTTTTGTTTTTCTCTTTCTCTTTTTCTTCTTCTTTTGGGTCTGCTCATGGGAAGCGAATGATTTTCGTCAGCGCAGTGAGTCACGCGGGCGATGCCGTCGACCTTGTTGGCAACGAAGCCCTCGGTGTAACACATTCCTTGAAATATGTGCGTGCAACCTTCGTCAGTCGCAGACTTTGGGTTGTGACTCACGAGCAATTGGAGGTGCCTCCGGGTTCTTCGGAGATAGCTTTATCCGCTCCATCTCCTGTCTTTAAAAGCTTACCTAGCCCGCCTCCTCCATGGTCCATGCACCCTTGTCTTGTTTTGCTTCAATCCATCCACTACGTGCACTCCGACTCCCATTGACAACATTCATCCAATAAACGCTCAATATCATGATTCATTTTTTTCGATCTTCCCCGCGAAGTGCGGGACTTGATTTACGCGCAATGCGTCTACTCCGATGGCGGCTACATCTTGGATTTTGACAAGAACAAGCTCAAGTGCGCTAATGGAGAATCGATCGATCTCATGCTCACCTGCAAGCGGGTTGCGAGGGAAGCTATGGGTATACCTTTATCAACTAATACTCTCAACTTTTCGGCTGTCTGTTCAGAGGAGCATCGAGTTACAGCTGGACGCTTTGATAATTTCTTGAATATTTTACACCAATGGCAAGGCGCCAAAGTGAACGACATCTTTCCGGACACTATCATCATCCCTGACGACATATGGAACGAACTTTCAGAAATCAACCCCAAATTCGCACCATACGTCGAACTACTCAAACAACGAACCCAATGCTTGGCAAGTTTCAGAAGATGGACGTCGTCAACTGGTCTCTAATCCCAAACCAACAATAGGGCCGCCCGGATCCTGCGGCGAAACACCATCGACATTTCGCAAGTGGGTGTGTTCTGTCCTGCAGACTCTTTGGAAGCACCGACATCGTTTCGGCGAGGAAAATTTCGCTCTTTTTGAAGCGGGGTCGGGCTGGGGTCCGGGTTCTTATAGAAAGACCCAGATTTCAAGGCTTGTCAACGTCAATCTCGATCCGTGGGAGATTCCATCCTCCTCGAAGGCAGTTGATGATCTTATATAGAGCCTGGGTGAAACCTTTGAACATCGATTTTCCGAGACGTGGGACTCCAGCCTTCATGGTGATCCCTATGACAAGAGTCAAGTCAAGCACCACTACTCTGCTGCGGCTGTCGCTGTACGTTTCCTGGCATGCCTGCCCTTGGCCTGTCGCCTGAACATACGGAATATCGTCCTCGATGAGAACCGGTACGCCGTTGGTCGTGCTGAGAGTCATGGTTTGGGTCTTATCCCATACTGTCAAGAAAACCCGCGTCTTCGTGTGGAACGTCGAGCGAATATGTGGCGGACTGTGTTTCAGTCTATGACTGGAAATCGAGAGCCGGGGCACACTGTTCCTTACAAAAACCAAGAGATGGAACATCTCTATGCGCCATCAATTTCAGATAGTGTGGCGGTGTGGGTGCTTGAAGCGCTAGAGCTCGAACGCGCCGGCATGCCCGCTGGCTCATTTTCTTTGGTCTTTGAGGGAGACTCGATTTGTCCGCAGATCTTTCAAAACGTCGTCCAACGTGATGCCGCATGGCAGGCAGCCGTTGACCTTTGTTTAGAGCGCAAGATTCTGCCCGCGTTGTCTTGGGGCGAGAGGCGAAGCGACCCAAGGAATAACATACGGTCACGCGCGCTCGGGGAGTATCCTGGCAGAGATAATATGTGGTACTTGTTTGAGAACTTTCCGCAAGCAATACGCGACATTACATCTGGCAACTCCATCGTCAGATGCAACTTCGATGTGGGCAAAGCTTTGGACCCAGAGGTGTTGGTCAGAGAGCACAGATACTGGAAAATGGATGATTGGAAGGAAGGCTGGTGGAGTCACAATCCTGAATCCTTTCAACCGGACTCGGGGAGCTGGCTTCAGCTCCTCTGCGACAATAGTTACCAATCGGATCTACCACTTGATTAAACCACTAGAAGACCTCGACAGATACTGTACATTCTTTGACCGTGGGGCAAAGGGGGAGGAGGGGAGGAGGGGAGGAGTGTTTGTCTATGAATGGAATTTGTACGCGGAAGAACAGAGTTTTGGAGATGGAGATGTGAAGCATTTGTTACATTTTCTAGGCAGACTTTGAGTAAAGTAGTATCAAAAGATCTAATGACAATGGGTTGTGTGCCAATGGAGCGCCGCAATACGTGATGTAGAGGTCGCTTGGCACGACTAAATCACGGGTCTAGACCTCTCTGCTGATGATACCTATTCGCGCACAGACCAAAGACGCGCCGAGAAGTCGATAGTGAGGTGTCAACGGCCATTGGCTTCCAGCTAAGGAATTGAGATCGAGTATACCCCACCCAGGCAATGGGGTGCTTGTCACAACAGGCTAGCTATCTGTATACGGTATACTGTATGCTCAGAAGACAATGATTTCTTTCTGAGTCTAGGAGCCAGCCGTTGAGGGAAGTCTCTCAATGTCAGAAGCGTAGCCATATTATCCGGTAAGTTTTAGGCAAAAGGTTCGACGTGATGCACAGTAAATTGAGCAGTTGAACGAATTGACAATGCGATAAGGTATCTGATCCACCCGCACTTTCGAGGAAAGTCGAAGACAAAAGTGAAAAAAAGAAAAAAGAAAAAAAGAAGAAGAAGAACATTCGATATCATAGTCCTTGCTCCCCCCTGTAAATAAGATGAATTTACGGCCACTACATTGAGGCCATCTGTTGCAGAAATTCCCCGACTGCCCTGGCAGATTTGTCCGTTGGGACATTTCCCATGTGAGGTTTTTCCAATGCGACTGTATCATGAGTCAAAGCTTTTGGAAGGAGGTTTCTTGCCCTGACCAGGTTTCCATGTTGCGCAGCCTGTGGTGTTGTGTCAGGTCGTCTTGCGAATGGTGTCTAGTTTCAGCTGGAGGGGCTATGGTTGGGTGTGGGCGACCTCTGGCTTCTCTCCCATAGCCGAAGACGCGTGACCGCTGATCAAGCTGTCTTCCGGCGTGTACATGACTTTCGTATCAACTCCGTCAGTTTAACCAGTTGATAAAACAGCGCCAAATACTTCAGGATGCAGACAGAAATCCTGTAGCAGACTCGTCTTGCGGTCTTGAGAGTCTTGAGAGACAAGACTAGCCTTCGGTAATGCAAGACTCTGCGTGAGACGTCTCAGAACCCGACATCGCGCAGAAAGGAGCCAGCTGCTTCAGACAGTCTGGCAAATAGCCCGTCTTCGTGTCCACGGCATGCGGTCCAGCTAGATCACATTCATGGTTCGCTGGATTTTCCTGTCCGTCATCTGCAAATCCGCTCCTGGGTTGAAAGTCCCAGGGGCTCTTTGCAATGCAATCAGTTGTTTTAAGTGACGATGCTGAAGTCGAAAGTCAGCTTGTGAAGGGTCAGCTACGCAACTTATCAGTAAAAATACTGAGTGGGACGGGTTGAAGTGAAACCCAATCTTGGAGTGTGCTTCCATATTGTCAGTGACCAACTCGCACGCCTCTTGGTCCAAGTCTCTTGAAGCCGTTCTGATACGAGCTTGATGAAGACCCGACACGCGACTTGACACTGTAGTTTCTGTGACACTTCTAAGCGCAGTGTTGACACTAAGCAGCCCAAATCAAATGAGCTGGAAACAGTTCCAATGGCCGCGGCCGACTTTTACCACCCTCAGCCTCAATTTTCTTACCCCTCAGTTTTCACAGCTAAGGAACCTCTACGTGGTTGATCTTGTATCTCTGTGAGAACAGTCTATGAGCAACCCACGTACCACATACTCAGAAGGATCGGTAACATGCCGTGTTACCTATTGAAGCGACGTCTCATGACCCTAAGAAATAGATCACATCCAACCTTCATGTTCAGCGTCTCCAAAGACGATCGGCTCTTCCGAAGATGATTCGAGAAGAAAGCTTGTTGAAGTCCCAGGAAATTCGACTAATGATGTTGAATGAGCAGGCTGTCTCGCACCTGTGGCTGAACGAGAAGATGCACTCGTTGCTTGAAAGGTTAGGTCGTTGTTGCAGTGGAGTCTGATGAGAAAGAATCTTCATTTGAGGCTTTCAAGCTCTTCTTCCATTTATTAAGAGGTCTCTGACATGAGGGTAACCGGTTTTGGACTGAGAACAACAGACACGTTCTTTCCTGTAGCGATCATTCTCAATCACAATACCGTTATAATTTATGATTCATCAATCGTCCAGCGGCATGTAGAGCCGTAACCACAATATCTTTTGACAACAACGCCAGAAATGGATTACTTGATCTCGACCAAGCGTGAAACACCAAGCAGAGTGCGATTGCATTCCTTAGCACTTATTCAGACAATCGAGATTGCCTCACTGGCACAAAAATGCAGTAACATCGGTGGGCTTCATGTTGAGAGGTGAGCTGGGAAGTAGATTTCGAGCGAATGATGCTGTTTCTGGGACTGTTGTGGGTATGAGGACGAGCATTTTGGGTTGTGATCTTTTTATAGTCATTGAATTCTCAGTCGAGAAGAAATGGTTTCACGGCGATTGGCGGCCTGCCCCTACTTCCAAGCTGTTGAGCATTGAAGCGGGCGAAGTTGAAAAGCGGCAGTCCACATTGAGTCTACGGCGTGGAGAGATTTTTGTCCCACGGTCAGTAGCATGTTTAAGCCTGCCACGATCATCTGTCAATCGTGGTGGAAGACGCGAGATCGGACCTGCTGAGCAAAAATGAAGTCTTGAAGCCTCAAGGTGTACGTGCAACTCAACCACAAAAGGACCCCTGACTGTTTCACTAAGCAATCGGGAATCTTTTCTCAGTCTGCGTATGTGAGATATTGATGTCGCGATTTTGATTAATGAATCTCCCGGAAAGACTCAGAAACACCCGTCGTGGGAGCCACAATGTCAATTAAACCAGGAGAGCCGATTACGAAAGTCTCGTCAATGCAAGTCAGTCGCCTTGACTAACCCAATTTGGCTCTTCAATTCGACTTGACTTCATCCTCGAAAGTAAACAGACGAAGATGCACATCAAAAAGGATTTGCAGTGCTCCCGGCAAGGCTCGAACTTGCGACCTTTGGATGTGTCCACCTGAGGCAGAGTCATAGACAGTTGCTGTGAGACCAACGCTCTTCCAGCTGAGCCATGGAAGCGAAGGCGTGATTGGCTGGTCAACTCTGTCCCCCAGCTCACCCAATTGAACGGACCTCAATCGCGCGTTAGGGGGGGTCCAATAACGAGCGGCTCTGCGAGAGGTTACGGGGTGCGTGAAGTGGCTTGATTAATCTAGCTACAAGCGCCAGGCGCGCCTAGCTACAAAGTAGTGTGGCTAATCCCTTACATAAAGGTAGGATTTAGGCTAGGGTTTAGGCCTTAGACCTAGGCTTAGTTAACTACTATCTTATACCCCCCTTTTAACTAATACCTCCTATACTCTATAAAGCTATTTTTATCCTAAAATAGTAATTAGATTAATTATATAACTATTAGCTTTATTCTTAGCTATTTCTCTTATACTTTCTTTTTTATATTAACTTTATTATCCTATTTTATTTCTTAAAATACTTCTAATTTCTAATTCTTAGTTATATATTAATTATAATATAAAACTCTTACTAATTTTAAAGTAATTTTAATATAAACTTAAACTATATAGTCTAATAGTTTAGTTACTTTTAGATTATATAAATTTAGATTAAAAAAACTAATAACTTAACTTTAAAGCTTTAAATTTAAATTAAACTTATAGTAATTAGGTTTAGTTAACTCCTTAATACTAATTAAATAATATAAGTTCTATATTTTATAGTTAAGTTTAATATTTTAAAATAAGTAAAGTTTATAGATTCTTATAAAAATTAATTCTAAGATATATTAATATTTTATATAAACTTAATTAACTAGGATAATTATTAGAAGATACTATAAAGTTTAGTTCTCTTTTTACTTTTATTCTAACTTATACTTTTAAGATCTAATTAAAATTAAGTAAATTAAACTTAAACTTATATCTCTTTTAGTAATTAGTATTATTACGTTTTAATATAGATAAATATTAATTAAGATATCTAATTTAGTAATAAACTTATAACTTAGTGAAGTTAAAGTCTTTAATTACTTTTTAAACTTTTATTATTAGATAACTTCTTATATAGGAGATTTTTATAGTTAGTAATTTAACTTTTAAAAAGAGTGAATTGAGGTGATTAAAATAATATAAAGTCTAACTATAAAAGTTAATTAGTTAGTAAGATATAAAGGAATAAAGTTATTATATATAAGAGAAATAAATAAGTATATAGGACTTAATTAAGATTAAGTTTTAAGATATTATCTTTAGATTAAGACTTATTATTAGTTATAGGTAGTTTAGATAAACTTAGTATTCTAATAAAGTTATAATATTTCTCTACTATTAGTAGTTTAGTGAGGCTATTAGTAACTATTTTATAGGTTAGGATATAATTAATCTTAAAGTCTTTATTATTAATATTATTAATAATTTAGTAATATTTAATCTTAATATAGTATAGTTTAAGTAACTATTTACTTAATAGGTAATTATTAAAAGTATTTATAGAATTTATATATACTTAGAAAGGTAAATAAATAGAGATATTTATCTTTTTAAAGAGATCTATAATATATAGTAAAGTTTTCCCTCTAAGTATTAGATTTATTTACTTAGCTTTATAAGTTAATATAGTTATAAATAATTATAGTATTAATTTCTAAGTAATTAATACTCCTCTATATATAACTATATAGCTAGCTATTAACTTACCTATTCTTTTATAATTAAACTAACTAGTATTATAAAATACTAATAATTTAAGGTTATTAATAGAATAACTTAAACTACTAAAGTAGAGTATTAGTTATTATAAACTATAGAGATATCTTTATATTAATCTTAATAGTTTATTATACTTTTTAGAAGTATATTATTAATCTCTAGTAATTTTATTTATAAGTATTATAATATCTAGTTATATA